TTGATTTTTGAAAATCACTTAGAAAAAAGACTTTAAAAAATATGTATTTTGGAGAATATTAAGAAATTTGAGTTTGAGATTTCAAAGCAAGCACGTAGGTTCTTTCATGAGTGTATCTCTTCATTTATTGAGTGATTAATATGTGCCAGGCAGAACTGGGAGGCAAACATCCGCACGAAAGATGGGGCTGGAATCCTCAGGGAACGTCTAGCGTTGGGACTGCTGAAAAGCCAAATAAAAATGTGTTATTTAGTAAAAATCTTGTTCTACTAAATGTGGTAGTTCTTTCAACTAAATGATGAAAGCCAGTTTTAAAGTCATTATCTTCTATAATAATAAAAGTGTAATATGCTAATTAGACCGGACATCCTTCCAGACAACCTTCCGGACGAAGCCAGGGCTGCCAAGGAAGCTGGGGTCCCGGGTGCCAGAGGGAAGCCGGTGCCGGCAGCCGGGGGGAAGGAAGGCCTACTCTTGCACGAATTTTGTGTGTCAGGCCTCTAGTTTTAATATATGTGGTAAATACATACTCTTAAACATAACTTTGAACCCTGTTAAAATTACAGCAGGTTGTAGAATAACATTTTGTGCAAATCCTTTACTTAAAACCTTGAGATAGCTAGGAACTTAAGTCCTCCTACTGGGTATGTGCCTGCAACCAAGGTACATGCCCCTGACCGGAATCGAACCTGGAACCCTTGAGTCCGCAGGCCGACGCTCTATCCATTGAGCCAAACTGGTTAGGGCAATACATACTCTTAAACATAACTTTGAACCCTCTTAAAATTACAGCAGGTTGTAGAACAACATTTTGTGCAAATCCTTTACTTAAAACCCTGAGATAGCTAGGAACTTAAGTCCCCTTTATGTGAATTAGCCAGTGGTAAAATTGGTTTCGCTATAGGTCACTTCACTTAAAAGTCGCAGAACCTGTGCACAAGGTTAAGGGAGGACTTAATGTACAGGGGTGGGCAAAAGTAGGTTTACAGTGTTGAGTACGTGAAACAGTTTATTCTTGTATTATTTATTACTTATTGTATTATTTATTTGTTTTACTACTGCAAACCTACTTTTGCCCACCTCATATATGCTCATTGCATGTAGACAGAAGGGCAGCTTTCAGAGTCAGGGCAAAACTATACCTTTAACATCTTTTCAGAGAGAATAGTTTGACTTTGTAGTTAATGTCATTTGACTTGCCTAGCAGATGTTTTATTTAGATATTACATAGGAGAACCACGACTTGTTAATCTTTGGGTCTTGTCAGTATCAGGTCATCTATATATATAAAAGCCTAAGCGACCGTTCTACCGGTAGCTATGACGTGCACTGATCACCAGGGGGCAGACACTCCGACTGGTAGGTTAGCTTGCTGCTGGGGTCTGGCCAATGGGGACTGGGCGAGATGGGCTGGACACGCCCTGGATTCCTCCCACGGTCTCTCCCTGGCCAGCTAGCCCTGATTGACCCCAATCAGGACTGGGCAACACGGGCTGGACATGCCGTGGAGCCCTCCCACGGTCCCTCCCCGGCCTGGCCTGAGCCCTTGTGGGGTCCCTCGGCCTGGCCTGAGCCCTTGTGCAATCCGGGACCCCTCGGGATGTCTGCAGGCGAGGCTGACCGGTAGCTATGATGTGCAATGACCGCCAGGGGCAGACGCTCAACACAGGAGCTGCCAAGCTGTGGTGACTTGGCAGCTGTGGTTCTTGGGTGATGCACCTGGAACCAGAGAGGAGGGAGCCCGATTCCGGGGTGTGTCACCCAAGAATGGTCCTCTCGCAATCCGGGACCCCTCGGGTGATGTCGGGGAGCCGGTTTCGGCCAGATCCCTGCAGGCCAGGCCGAGGGACCCCCCTGGGGCACGAATCCATGCACTGGGCCTCTAGTTTGAATATGAAGTTCAAAACAGTGATGTAAACTGGGTAAATAATATACTTTTTAATGATTTCTTGTTAATGATATCTGCCTAATCATTTTATTTTTTACCTTGGTACAGAGTAATTTTTAAAGAATGCTGAATATCAGGGAAACTTTTTTCCTCAATGGGAAAAAAAAAACTTGGCTTTTAAGATGATTTGGTGTGTGTGTATGTGTGTGTGTGTGTGTGTGTGTGTGTGTGTATTTACATTTGTTAGAATTGTTTGGTAGTGCAAGTAAGTGCATTATTTTAAAAGGCATCTATTTTATTTGGGATAATGTGTGCTTAATGTTTCATAAAGGCTTAAAATTGCTTACCCGTCAAAATGACAAGTTTGAGTTTAAAATTTAATGAGAATAAATTTCTTAGTTATTAGCAATTGCAACCTGGCACTTATACCTTCTCTGTTTGTTCTCTTGTGTTGAAAGAGAGAAAAAATGCCTAAAAAAAAGACTGGTGCGAGGAAGAAGGCAGAGAACCGCCGGGAACGTGAAAAACAGCTGCGAGCATCGAGAAGCACCATAGATTTAGCTAAACACCCATGCAATGCTTCAATGGTAACAGCTTTTTATGATATCAGTTGATAGTTGAAAAACTGTATCAGTTATCAGAAAAACACCTGAAAAAATTTTAGTGAATACAGTGTTACTGTATGTATTTTATTGATTTTGAAATCTGTGTTAGAGGCATGTCCATTGTTTTCATTAACACTTGAGTAGCAATGATTTTTGTTTGATTTTATGTTATTTATAAAACCTATCATATTACCTTGGCTATTCTTGGTGATGAATAGTTATTGACCAAGAATACATAGTAGGATTGCTGTGAAAAATTTTCCAGCTTCTCTGAGCTTATGTGCCTTAATTCAGTTTATCTTATTAGTTGGAATCTTTTTATCATTTTCTCTTAGCAGTTCTTTATAACTCATTTGATTTTTCATTTCTAAACTTTCTACTGTTCTTGACATCTCTTTTGGTTTCCTGTTCTACTACCTTATTTCCTTGTGCCAAATGGGTTAGTCCTGATCACTTGTGGGCTTCTTTGGTCAGAGTTGTGAAAAGCAAGTGATATTTGCCAGCATTAGTCCTTTTCTTTGACCATGTTTCTCTGAGTTGTCCCACATCTCCTAATTTCTACTTCTCTCTACTTTTTCTATCCCCACTACTCTTTTTTCTTCTTCTGTTTCATCAGACACACATAAAGTGTTTACATGACTTAATTCCACACACTGTTGTGCATCTACCCTGAGCCGTAAATGCTGTTTTAGGCGCTGTGGGGGATACATAGGTGAAGGACGGATCAGTTGTTTTTTGCAGTACTTAAGAACTGTTTGTTTATAAATGACAAATCCAACCTAAGTAACCGGGAGAAAATAGTGGACTAACTTGTATAGTTGGGCAGGGCAAGGATGTAGCTGGAACACAGGGACAACTGGAACCTGGAACAATCTTGTAGTTCCATCTTTTGCTTTTGTTCCTTTTTGCTTATTAGTTCCATTTTCTCAGGTTGTCTTACTCCATGTGTTTGGGTTCATAGGCACGGGTAACTCACATATTTCACATCACATATCCTTACCCTAGCGGGGGAAAGAACTCTGATACTTTGGACTTCGTGGTGCCATTTCTAGGACTAACATTTATGGCTGGAGTGGGGGAGCAGGATTACATAGCACAGATAGGACAGTGGGGACCCCCTTCTGTGTGTCAGGGTCCTTTCTAGAGTCTAGGGGTAGAGGGCAAGATGAAAGAAGAAGTAATTCACATTCCTAAGTATATACAATGACAGCCAGACTTGGTGAGTGTTGCAGTGGAGGCACAATGAGGACTAAGAGGTGATAAAGTTGAACGTGTGGATGGGCTGCAGTTTACAGAAGAGGTGGGATCATCACCAGAACTTCCAACAAGGAAAGACTGTGAGGAGGGACTTTTCAGGGCAAGGTGTTAGAATAAGTAAGGCATAAAAAAAGAGAGTACAAGGCATATTTTGAAATTGGCTGACAAATAGTGACTTGAATCTAAAGAGAATAGGCCAGCAATTTGAAAAGTAGTTAGAGATCAGATTGTTGAGAATTTTTAATACCATGCTTTAAGATTCTGGATTTTCTGTAAGCTTTACCATATTGTGTTCTCCACTGTTTCCTGTGTCCTTTATTATTTGTGTGATTCATTAAAAAACAAACTACCTCTATTTACCTCTTTTGTGAAAATGCCACTTCTTTGTCTAGGGCATTATGCCTTTGTTATGTGTAGATTCCTGTATACTGGGGGCAGTTGGAGTATTTGGGCAAATGTCATTTAAATTTTAACATGAAGAGCAGGATATTCTTTATAATGCAAGCAAATTTGTAATTTTCAGCCAGTAGGAAATTAATGTCATGTTTATATTTTACAGGAATGTGACAAGTGTCAGAGGTAAATTTTTATTTCTTTTTCTATCAATATATAATAATTAGATCCTCTGATCTTTTATCTGATATTGACTATATTTTAAAATTTATTTTACATGACAAGGCGGCAGAAGAATAGAGCATTTTGCTATTTTTGTAATTCTGTACAGAAGTTACCAATTTGTGCACAATGTGGTAAGTATGACAACTAAAGGCACCTGCCTTTTATCAAATATTTGTTGGCAGTTAATCAGTTTGAAATGGTGGGTTTATCACTGTTTATAATAATGTTATGCCTTACCATTGATAAAATATCATTAAATGTTATTTCGCCTACAAGTGGGAAATAACACTATCAAGTGCCTAATCAACACTATCAAGTCTTGATTTTGACTCTGTAATGTAATGCTGGAAAATGGTTAACATACAGGTTAGATATAGGTTACCAACATGTTTTTGTTGTGTTTTTAAGATTTTTTAATTGATTTTTAGAGAGAGACACAGAGAGAGAGAGAAACATATTTGCTGCCTCATGCACGCTCCCTACCAAGGATGGAACCCACAACCTGGGCAGGTATCTTGACTGGGAATGGAACCAACAACCTTTCAGTGTATGGACTGATGCCCAACCAACTGAGCCACACCGGCCAGGGCTACCAACATGTTGTTTTACACATTAAAATGCCACTTCTTTGTCTAGGGCATTATGCCTTTGTTATGTGTAGATTCCTGTATACTGGGGGCAGTTGGAGTATTTGGGCAAATGTCATTTAAATTTTAACATGAAGAGCAGGATATTCTTTATAATGCAAGCAAATTTGTAATTTTCAGCCAGTAGGAAATTAATGTCATGTTTATATTTTACAGGAATGTGACAAGTGTCAGAGGTAAATTTTTATTTCTTTTTCTATCAATATATAATAATTAGATCCTCTGATCTTTTATCTGATATTGACTATATTTTAAAATTTATTTTACATGACAAGGCGGCAGAAGAATAGAGCATTTTGCTATTTTTGTAATTCTGTACAGAAGTTACCAATTTGTGCACAATGTGGTAAGTATGACAACTAAAGGCACCTGCCTTTTATCAAATATTTGTTGGCAGTTAATCAGTTTGAAATGGTGGGTTTATCACTGTTTATAATAATGTTATGCCTTACCATTGATAAAATATCATTAAATGTTATTTCGCCTACAAGTGGGAAATAACACTATCAAGTGCCTAATCAACACTATCAAGTCTTGATTTTGACTCTGTAATGTAATGCTGGAAAATGGTTAACATACAGGTTAGATATAGGTTACCAACATGTTTTTAAGATTTTTTTAATTGATTTTTTAGAGAGAGAGACAGAGAGAGAGAGAAACTTATTTGCTGCCTCGTGCACGCTCCCTACCAAGGATGGAACCCACAACCTGTGCAGGTATCCTGACTGGGAATGGAACCAACAACCTTTCAGTGTATGGACTGATGCCCAACCAACTGAGCCACACCGGCCAGGGCTACCAACATGTTGTTTTACACATTAAAAGATCAGATTTCAAACTAATAGTACTTGGTGGTCCTGGATTTTTAATTATACTACCTTAGTCTTGTCCATAGCCGTTTGTTTACATTTCTAAAATTTGATTCCTGCTAATATTGCCTGCAGTATGTTAGACCATTGGGAATAGTTTTATTCTACATTTACCTGGTGCCAGTTTTTTGTGATCATTTGTTTTCTGTTTGGCATTTAGCATATGATTCTTGAATTTCTTCACATGGATTCCCAAGTGATTAGAATAGAGTTCTTAAAGCCACATACTCATTTCCTAGGTATAAGTGGAAACTAAGAGTAGATGATCATTCAGAGTAAAACTAAATGTAGTGCACAGAACAAGATTGGTGTTTGTCAAATAGTCTTTCTTAGAATACTTGTGATATATTAATAAGTATTTTTTAGCACAATGTATACATTTGAGAAATGCTGTGTGTTTCATCCCCTTCCCATCTGGGAGATTTCTATTATATCCTGTGTAATAAAGAACTAATATGCTAATTAGACTGAACAGCAGAATGACTGTCCAGACAACCTTCCAGACGAAGCCAGGGCTGCGAGGGCCCAGGCAGCTGGGGCTGTGAGGGCTGAGCCCCTTGCACAAATTTCATGCATCGGGCCTCTAGTATTTATATGTTAAAGTTTCTGAAGACCTCCAGTAAATACAGATTTTCTCCCCAAACTTTTACTTGAACAAATATCCCTTTTGGTTTTGGTATAATAATTTCAGGTGTAACACATTTTGGGATATGCTCATTTTAATGTGTTTATGTATGATAACATTGCAGAAAGTTAGGAATGTTTAGGGCTACATCCCTGAATATTCTAGTGTTGTTCTAGCTTTCAAAGAAGACATCATGAGGTTTATAATTAATGAAAAAGAGAATACTGGCTTAGGTAGACTGCTTATCTGCCAGTTATATCCTTATTTTATAAAAGAAAGGAATGTAGAGTGAGAAAATAATTTATGGAAAAGATTAAATTCTTGCTAGGACCTTCCTATAATTTCAGTGTTTTTGAGCTTAAATTTTGTTATACATGGATGCATTTCTCACATATTTTGTACTTCATGTTAGACAATGGAACAGTGGGTAGCTGTTGACTCTCATTTCCAATTTCTCTTTCTTCCCGTTTCTTGTTGTCTAGCTTTGTTCCTCAGGTAATCAGGATAATGGAAAATTGAATATCTTCTGTTTCTTTCATGTTCCACTTTGTGGAGTATGAAATTGATGATTACTGTGTCATTATTAATCTTCCCAAAGTATATGAATTTCCTGACAGTGTTTTGGATTGGTAATTAGCTGTTACATCAGAGTTTTTGTGGCTATATGGTAATTTTTAGCTCTATCACCATATTGCTGGTTTTTATGCTCACTTGGGGACTATTTGAAATTTTTTTTGAAAAATATTTAATTGGAGGTTATGTCTGTAAATGTGTACATATGCATAAACTTAAAAAGTGAACCAGATAAGATGCATAACTTCTGTTTGGTTGGTTTGAGATATTGTGTGGAAAGAAATAAGCAACAGACTTTAAACCAGACTCTTTTTATTGTGAATTATGAATGATTAAATTCATTTTTTATTTTTTTTAATCCTCACCCGAGGATATTTTTCCATTGATTTTTAGAGAGAGTGGAAGAGCGAGGGAAAGACAGAGAGAAATATTGATGTGAGAGAAACACATCAGTTGGTTGCCTCTTGCACAAGCCTTGACTAGGGCCCGAACCGGGGAGGAGCCTGCAACTGAGGTACATGTCCTTGACCGGAATTGTACCCAGGATCCTTTGTCCACAGGCTGATGCTCTATCCACTGAGCCAAACCGGCTAGGGCATGAAAGGTTAAATTCATTTTAAAGCATATTTTAAAATCTGCTATAATGGTGGTTTGGTTAGAAAACATAACCTGGAATTTCTGATTTTAGTACAAATATGAATTAACATACAACTTTATTGTGCAGTTGGTTTTTAATAAATTTCTAATCTCAAAAGATCTGACTCAGGTAATGAGATCTCAGTTATATCCCTTTTCTATTTTTGGTTATGTAAGCAGTACACTGCTTATTTCTATCCATTTAAAATTATTTCCACAGGCTAGATAAAGATAATTAATGAATTACTTGCATGTGCTCCTTTTGCCAGGCTAATTGTGCAAATTTGTTTCTTTACTAGGGAAAACAAAGTGCATGATGAAGTCTTCAGACTGTGTCATAAAGCATGCTGGTGTATACAGTACTGGCCTTGCAATGGTGGTAAGCTTCTCGTCATCATCTCTTAGACCCGTCACTGATTTTCAACCAGTGTGCTGCAAGAATTTTTAAAACACGCACTACCTGACTCTTTCATCAGGGGCACTGACCCCCTTTTCTCTTCGATTGTGAATTTTAAAAAATGACAACAGCCAGCACAATAGCCATCCAATATGATTTAAAATTATACTTATTTAAAAAAAAATGTTTTCATTGATTTCAGAAAGAGGAAGGGAGAGGGAGGGAGAGAGAAACAACATTGATGAGAGAGAATTATCCGCTGCCTCCTTCACTCCTTACTGGGGATTGAGCCAAGAAATGGCATGTGCCCTGACTGGGAATCCTAGTGTGACTCCCTGGTCATTGGTTGATGCTCACTCACCAGAGAACACTAGCCAGGCTATATCTATTTTTATTTTATTTATTTTTTTTTTGGTCAGATGGGCAAATATATTTTTTTGCTAAGCCGGCAGAATTTTAGTAATAAATTTATGTGTGTCATGGAATGAAAAAGGTTGAAAATTGCTGTCTTAAGACTAGTTGTATCCAAGGATAAGAAAACATCATTCTGACCAATGGTTATTTTTTTTTTTTTAATATATTTTATTGATTTTTTACAGAGAGGAGGGGAGAGGGACAGAGAGCTAGAAACATCGACGAGAGAGAAACATCGATCAGCTGCCTCCTACACGCCCCCCACTGGGGATGTGCCCGCAACCAAGGCACATGCCCTTGACCGGAATCGAACCTGGGACCCTTGAGTCTGCAGGCCGGCGCTCTATCCGCTGAGCCAAACCAGTTAGGGCCCAATGGTTATTTTTTATAACCACTGTATTTTATACATATACTAAGGTCTGGTGTGCACGGGTGGGGCCCCTTGGCCTGGCTGGCAATTGGGGCTGATCAGGGCCATCTCGCCTAATCCCGATCAGGGTCAATGGGGGCGGCTGGCCAGGGAGGGGTCCAGGGTGTGTCCGGCCCTCTTGCCAAGTCCCAATTGGCCGGATCCCAGCAGCAAGCTAACCTACTGTTTGGAGCGTCTGCCCCCTGGTGGTCAGTGCTCGTCATAGTGACTGGTCGACTGTGACCGGATGGTTGACCACTTAGCTTATTGCACTTTTATTATATAGGATTATTATCCTATCTAATAAAAGAGAAACATGAAAATTGACCATCCCTCTGCTATGCTCACCAGCCAATCAGGAGTGAGTATGCAAATTAACCCAACAAAGATGGTGGGTTAATTTGCATA